GTTCGGATTCATATCAGCCAATCTCGGTACTAGCCATACGATCCATCCCTGAAGCACCCGGTCGATATCTAACACACTGTGTCTTCGTGTGTTCATATCACTGCAACGACTATTCCACAAACCCGACAATTCTTATGTATGCTCCGTGGTTTCGGAGAGCCATTTGCTACATCTTTGGGAGTGTCGTCTAACCCTCGGCTACCATAATTCAAGTGCTGTGGCTTGGTGACTTGTTCCTTGACTTACAAACCAACTCGTGATGGACCAGAGTGACTGCTTCGAGGACTTGACCCAACGTATGTGCTCGGAAACTACATGCTCGACAAACAGTCCGTATACGAAACATTATGATTCTGGTTGCCGGAACTCGGAAATCACCTTGCCTTAGGTGCAAGTCATCGCGCGGTATGGTTGGTGATGCTCCCCGTCATCATCCTTATCCTCACAATATCCAAGAAGGGCTTGGTCTGCTTTACATATCGTTGAGCCTGGCCTCCCAGAAGCTTCAGTCCCTGCAGCCGCCCTTGCTCCCGGTCGACAAGGATGGCATGGTAGACATGCTGGCTTGAGCACTCGCATGTTCTGCACAGCGGCTATGTAGCTGCATATCTAAAAGCTAACCAATTAGAAATGCATTATCGTCGGGAAGAACAAACATGGGCCCCTGTTGGGGCGTTTCAAAACCAACCAGCCGTCCTTAGGCCCGCGTGTGAGCCTTTTGAGTCTAAGCGGCCATTGACTGGACTGCTCCAAGATGCCGTGGGGGAGCCTGGTCGCCAAGACTTAGCCAGTGAGTTGAGTCGCCACGTTTACCTTCTAGAGCCTTAGGGCGTCCACTACCTGGCACACCGGTGCGCGTTAGTCAGTCGTTGGTGGGGGATCCTGACTCTAGTCTACCCGTTCGTCTTGCTGTCAGATGCAGATGGCACAGTGGGAAGAGCAACTTGGGGCCTGGGCTGTTGAGTGCTGACAAAAGTGCCCCACCGAGTTTGGCCCTGTTGGATATTTTGGCGATTTTCACTTCCCGGGCTGGCCTCCAGCCGAGAAATACTATGTCAGGAGCATTCAAGTTCTTGGAGAAGGCAGGAAATTCCCTAAGCCCCAATGCTTGCATTTCCATATACAGTCTCCAAACAGTGATTCTACCAAATACTGGGATAGCAATTGCAATTCCAAGCCATGTACGACGAGTGCTTCTCTTGCGGTCAACTAGGAAGCTATGATGGCATTTCGCTCTGGCCCAGTCATTATATCTCGATCCAATGATAGCTCACCACGTCTCTGGCACACCACCCACCGCCGCCACCAGCTCCCCAACGACCAGGACGCAACCTCGATAGACTCCGAGGTCATCAGATGAAGCTTTCAGATTACTTGTCTATCTTGTGTCCTCGTCTTCTCGGTCGTTGTCTCCTGTCGGGTCTTTAGACGTGTGTGGATTTTAACCAGTGCACATCGTGCAAGACCTGCTACCAATTCCTTGCCACGATCCAATTACCAGAGCATGGCGATTGCTTTGAACGACTCCGGGATGTTTTGCCCAGTGGCATGGATGCTCACCCCGGCCTCCGGAGTTCGGGGCTTTGTCCACATACTGCCGCTGCGTTCTTAATCCCCAGATGCGATCTGGCAGCGCTTAGTGCGCTCCTGTAACTCTGCCTTGTAGCCGACCCTGTTGAGAGATCTGACCTATGCTTGCATACGCACCCAATTTCATGCTGCGAGTTCTCCATCATGCTGATGGAGCTGTAGGTCGCGGTCTTTCCAGGGACTGTGGACTCTATCGTGTATGTTATCAAAATCATATTCAAAGAGCGATGAAGTGCCGTCAGTTTTTTGCGCCCCGATAGTGGCTTTTTAGAGCCTAGTGCTACCCTCACCGCTATTCTCTGACCCAATTGTACCTTTCAGTGTGAGATGTACACTTGTACAGTACTGGCCTCTAAAACGACCCCCTTTGTGGTGACCTTGGGCGTCAGTCCACAAGGGTGGCCTTGTTACAAATGATAACGGCACGACTTGGCTGCCAGCTCACTTCAAGCTCCACAGGGCCATAACCAAACAGATCTCGAGGGAAGCCAAGCCATGATAGCATCGTTCCCTGTCAGCATCATGCTGGTTGGAGCTTGACGGATAAGTAGCATGTACTCCGCATCTGCTAGTGGTGGTCCACAAGGGCCTCAGTGAAAAGCAGACTGAAGGAGTCTTGCGTGACACAGGCTGTCCTCATCGAGATATTGCAGGATCGCATCATGATCATGGCTACGTGGGAAAGGTGCCACGGCTTGGATGGAAAGTCTCAGCCTCGGGACCACCTTGGCGCGAGTCAGGCGAGGCTGTAATTATATCGACAACGAGAAGACATTGCGTCGTGCCTGGCGCCTTCAATTGCATCGCGTGAAGTGACAATATCGCGTTTCTACGTGCTGCCCACTCCGTTAGCCTTCCCGCACATCACATCAAGCAGCGGGGTGTTTGAGGGGCTGGGGGGGACTTGATGTCTATCCACCTGGCAGCTAATGTACGGTACGGGAAGCCTTCATGCATGCACGTACGCGTGCATGCAGGCCGGGCGACTGTAGTGTTAATTCGTAATGTACGAATATGTGTTTCAATAGAGCACGAAAGACCTCTGACAAGCCAAAAGGTATGACCTATCTGCTAGGGACACATGGAGGTCGATGGGCAGAGGTGGCTGAAAGGTCGGGATGTCATATCTCCTGGCTTTGGCGGCCTACGTCCTCAACGATGAGTTCCTGAGGGAGAGCCCCTGATCTGAGCAGCCTATTCACAGAAGCACATAATTAATTCAGAGGACAAGAACTTGATGAAGCAGACGGCCGCATCTCGATTGTGCGCAGCCCATGTCAGCATGCCAGTCACTCTCAAGTCACTCCCAGTCGACGAAAGGGACGAAAATTGCAATGGGAGGATAGATAGATTTGACACACAGTGCTCCTGGTCAGAGATGCTGTTACCCGCCATGCCCATGTGATGCAAACCGTCAATCAAGCCAAGGTTAAAATACCGATGCACTGTAGAGATACCTCTTTGCAATACGCCAGATCACAACATCTCTGTAATTCAGAGAGGGGTGCTGCAGGTATGTTATGCATACTGTTATGTACGTACAGATGATTGGAGGTAGTGCTTGAAATGCTGGTCTGGATTATTGGTGGCAAATGCTTTCGTTTGTTGAGCAAGGAAAGGATAGTTCTGGTCAACGCCTACACCTCGTCTTGGGTTGTATCGGGTTCCTACGATCCTGGTCGAGCCGTCAAGCGATCGGTCTTTTGTGTCTGGCTTTCTCTGAACCCATGAAGAGTTTGAGGGTTGAGGCTTGGTGGCCAAGAGGGAGGAAGGGGCCTAGGTAATCTAAGAACTTCACGAAGGGGGACGGAAGAGGAATTAGGTGGCCCCAGACCGTGACATGACATGACATGACATGACATGATGAACATGAACATGGAATGGCCTGGGCTGGAGTCGCTGGTGCCTGTACGGAGTATGTACATATGTAGAGGCAAACTCGGCGAGACGAGACGGGCCGTTCACGGGGTGGATGTTCAAGGCCGAGCTGCGAGAGGAACGGGCCTTTCAGACAAGGATCGATGTGATGAAGTTGAGGGTGACAGGGATACAATGAGATGTTATGTGATTGACATGGCACCGACTGGTCCAGGCAATTCGTGTATCATGACAATGTATGTATATCAGGTCTAGGCGCTAGGGTCAGAGGATGGTCAAAGGGCAACTGCGAGAGATTGGAGAGCTGAGACTGAGAGGGACTTGAATGAGATCGAGCCCGTATGTCAGATAGAGAGAGGCCTGCCTCAGCCAAAGTCCAAGCCTAAGCACAAGCACAAGCACAAGCCCGACCCTGACCCTGACCCTGAGCTTGATCCTGAGCCTTGCATGACACACATATATACTTTTATCAAGATGATAGATGAGAGTTGAGCGGACATGTTTTAACTTACTAACCTACCTACCTAGTAGCTTCCATTGCTTATTAGGTACTGTACTGTACTGTACTGTACTGCACTGCACCTAGGTACTGTAGGCACCTGGGTTGAGGTGGGCGCGCGGCTCTACCCGCCCGCTGCAGCGCGTGAGACAGGTTGCAAGCCGCGGGTGCACTCTAACTTACATCTTTAGTAGTCTAAGGTAGGTATGTCATGTAATGCCATGCCATGCCATATCCTGCTACTTTTGCCTGCCAGGAGGTCTGCCCGTCTAGGTTACGGGGATTTTGGGCTTGGTTAACCAACATAACCTACCGCAGCAAACTATCGACCGTTTCAGGTATACATATGGCCTACCAGGTTCATCGTGCACAGCACAGCACTAGTTGGAGCGAAGCCCGTGATATTACATAGATCCAATGCACATCATGTTTGCAGCGCGCTTTGTTGGCATTCTCCTTCATCCAATGAGGGGCTGGGTTATTTCACTAGACATGATCTTTGCCTTGCGATTCCAGATCGGACGGTGGGAACGAGAGAAAGGGGCAAATCTTGTCAAGTCGATTAAAGATTTTGATGATGGTAAACACACCATTTTCGTCTTCGTTCCTTTGTTCTGACACTACAAATCCAACTATGGTGTCCAAAGTATGCCCAAGTTGGAATAAAACTATAATGAACAGCATGCTAAGATAAACATCACATTTAAAACACATGGAAGCAACATACCATGCCATATATTCAGATGTAAAATAATTTAATGCTCAAGTCATAGCAGAGTATAGGGTAAGCGCCTTAATCAGACTCACGTGACTACGCGTAAAGGTCCTGCGCAAGTCAACGAGAAAGACGTGGATATAGTGGTTGGTCACACGCGCCAGCGCCAAAAGCGGACACAACATGACACAACGACAAGAAAATGACAGCAGCACACCTCCACAAGACAAAGACAAAGAACGCTTCATCGCAACATCACATCACAACTCACTCAAAACTGGAACTGGCGAACTCCTTCATAAGTGACAAGAAGAAGAGATGTCACACCCTATACGGAAGGCCGCCGAGCCTCAACACGCTGCATCTTTTGACCCATGGAACTCATCGTCAACCGGCCACCAACGTCCTGAATCATGCCCCGGAACTGGCTGGCGCGAGTCCCGTAACCTCAAGCTCAACAGTCAATTTCGCAGCGGCTTATCTGGTGGAAAGCGTTTGAGCGACACATGGGGTGCTGGCTCAGAGGATTACGATGTGAAACGCAAGATGTTGGTTCCCAAGGCAGTGAAGGAAAGGGCACAGCGGAGCGTGAAGGATATGCTCGTGCAACCAGGCAAGATGCGTGAGAGTCTAGGGGTGAAGGATGAGGCCCAAGGAAAAGGATATGAAGCACTCATGGAATCAAGAAAGCTGGAGGATGAAGAGAGAGAAGCAGAAGTGTCTCGCCGACGGATATTTGATGGGGTGACTGTTTACGTCAACGGGAGTTGTTTCCCTCTCATATCAGATCTCAAGCTCAAGCAGCTTGTCACTGAACACGGAGGTCAGATGTCATTGCACCTCGGACGCCGGAAAGTCACCCATGTCATACTAGGAAGGTCAGCTGGACGATACTCGGGCACCGGAGGTGGCCTTGCTGGAGGGAAACTAGAAAAGGAGATTAGGAGAACGGCTGGATGTGGAGTTAAGTTTGTTGGTGCTGAATGGTAACTGTATCTCTCATCTGTACTCGACCCATGACTAATGCTATCAATAGGATCCTTGAAAGCCTGCAGGCTGGGAAAAGGCTACCCGAAGCACGTTTCTCCAGTACCAAGATGGCACCCAGGGCACAGGACAGCGTATATAGCCTCTTTTCGAGGCAGTCGAGTGGCCAGTCATCCAAGGACTGAGCTGTACTCACCTATAGGCTATGTTTTTGTTTACCGGAGTCTAGGATAGGGGCCATAAGAAGTTTCGGACACAGTCTTACGCCTATATCTCCGGCTACGAATGGTCAAACATTGGAGGGTCTTTTGCTTCGAGTAAACGGTCGGTAGCGTGGGATAGGAGATATGTGGTTACGAATGCGGCTGCGATATAGAATACTGGAGTCTGTCACGCCCTCGCGGGCAACGGAGGCTCGTCTCGAATTAGCTTCCCCTCAGCAACCATCAATTGTTAAAAATAAGGAGAATCAGTGTCAGAATATCGCGAGTGGCTCATCTACCAAGTGAAATGGACTTGGATGAAGAAACCAAGTCACTGTATCTTCCAACAATATCACGCCACTTGAATTAACCAGAAAGATCCGTTACGTTCAGAAAGGTCGCTCATATTAAACCTGCTCTATAGGCGAGCCTTCACCATGCCATCCGTCTCGGTTTCTGCTCGTTCAAAGTACTCCCTGATCCTGGCACGGGCAACAGTCAATGTCGACACATCTTCAATCGTGCTGGGAACCGCAACTTCCTTGTCAAAGTCACCACGAATGGAGTTCTCCACCATCTCCTTGAGGACCCGTCGTAGCATTTTGCCAGACCTTGTTTTGGGGATCATTCCCTTGCCCTGGATGATACCGCCTAATGAGGCTATAGCACCCACCTGACCACGGACTAACTGCTGTACTTCCTTGACGACTGATTCACTCGGCACTGCTGGATCTGCACAGCCTTGTCCCGAAAGTGCTACGAAGGCGAAAGGAAGCTGACCCTTTAGTGAATCCGGTACGCCTACGATACAAACTTCAACGACACGAGGATGGGCTGCAATGGCCTGCTCAATAGACCCTACGCACTGTTAGTCCATGCTGAAGTTGGAAGAAATTGAATTGGAACGTACCGCTTGATAGACGATGCGCGCTGACATTTAAAACATCGTCGCTGCGTGCCATTACATGGATATAACCTTGCTGGTCGATCCAGCCCGAATCACCGGTATCAAGCCACTTTCCCTCGAATCTTTTCAAGTAGCCTTTCCAAAAGCGTTCTTCATCCTGCCACAGAGTGCGAAATCCTGTCGGGGCGAGAGGCATTGCCAAAACAATATTTCCCATGGATCCCCTCTCAACTTCATTGCCCTCATCATCCACGATACGAACGTCAAAGCCTGGCATTGCTTTCCCAGCACTACCAGCCTTCAGGCAAGGAGGAGGATGCCCACGAACTTCCGTCTTGCGATGCTTGCCAGCGTGCGGAACGAGCGCTCGCCCCGTGATGGGGGAACCAACTTCTGTAGACCACCAATTATCAACTACGGCTGCGCCTTCAGCGCAATATTGACCCATGAGCTGCTGATAACTGTCGATAAGAGTAGGCTCGGAGCGTTCTCCAGCGAGGAAGAGAGCTCGCAAAGTCTTGAGAGCACCCCTTTTGCCGTAATCGATGAAGGATTGGTTGTTGGGGTCATCGCGCCTGATTGCACGTAGAGCTGTTGGCGCTGTGAACATGGTGTTGACTTTATACTCTTCAACTATTCTCCAGAACGCCGATGCATCAGGGGTACCGACGGGTTTGCCCTCGTACAAGACAGTTGCGGCTCCCGTGAGGAGCGGGCCGTAGATGATGTATGAGTGACCAACGATCCAGCCAATATCCGATGCCGTAAAAGAAACACACCCAGGTCCGTGAATGTTGAACAGATAACTTATGGACAGGTGCAGACCGACAGCGTGACCACCAGCATCGCGGAGTACACCCTTTGGGGTTCCAGTGGTGCCTGAAGTGTGAATGATATAAATAGGGTCGGTGCTCTTGACTGGCACACAGTCCGCCTTGATTCCTCGAGATCGGGCACTGTCGACTAACGTGTCCCAGTCGAGCTGCCCAGTTTCGTGGTTGAGATTCCAACGGAGCTGATCTCTTTGCCATACAATAACATTTTGGGGTTTATGACCAGCCAACCGAATCGCTTCTTCTACCAAGCCTTTATATGCAATTGGAGGTTTGTTGCCATCGATACCACAAGACGCCGTCAGAATAGCCACAGGACAGCATGAATCGATACGTTGCGCCAGAGCGTGAGGGGCAAAACCACCAAATACAATAGAATGGATAGCGCCCAGTCGATTAGCAGCAAGAATACCTATCACGGCAGCGGGAATCGTAGGCACTGTTACTCAAGTTAGCTGCCAGCATCACTGTATGAGAACGATGCATGGTTTACTCACTATACAGCAGGACTACATCTCCCTTCTGTATCCTTTGCTCTCTTAATGCACCAGCAAGAGTCTCAACCTCACCAAGAAGCTGACTGTATGTATATTTTTCCTTTGTCTTTGTCACAGGACTGTCAAAGTAGATGGCGACGGAATCGCCATGCCCATCATGTACATGTCGATCGACGCAATTGTAACAAGTAGATATTTCGCCGCCTGGGAACCACTCCCAGCTATCATGTGTAACACCGTTCTTGAGAGTTTTCTGAGTGAGCTGGATGGTTGTCGAGTATGGCTTATGCCAATGGAGATGCTCGGCTTGGTGTCTCCAGAAGTCTTCGGGGTTCTCAAGACTGTGCCGAAGCACCTCGTCTTGTATATGTTGATCTTGCTGGTTGTGGGGCATAGCTGGTATTTCGTTCTTACTTTGTGTCTTGGGCTCCTTATTCAATGCAGTACTTGGTATGGATGAGTAACTCCGTGCTTTTGTCGATGCCAATGGCTTTGGCAGGGAAGGGTATCTTGACAACAAATAGCAACAACGATGATTAAAGGGGCATGTCGGAGTGGGAACCGATAAGCTAGGGGGCCGAGTGTATATGATACATTGAATGGCTTGTCTTAGGTTCAACGGCATCGGACCTCACTACCGAGAAACTCCGGGCCGTCTTTGACGGTGTATAAATAACTCTGCCTGGACGACGATCTCCTCTGCAATGAAACTGGCCAATGGAGGTTTCCAAGGTCAAGCTTGATGAAAGAAGCCCTGGTGAGGGAGTTTGACTTTGATACATGAAATGAGATATCGGATCAAAGGAAGTGCCATTAACTGAGGAGATAGGCGATATACCTAAAGGCGAGGCGAGGGCGAGTCCAGTAAAACCATCTTGCACTATTAGAGACTGGCAGTATCAAGCAACATACATACAGCGAGATGCCCCCCCAAACAAATTCCCATCTCTAATCATCAGTTGCGGCTCTCCCAGCTTGCTTGGCAGGGCGAGTGTAAGTGGTTCGCTGAGGTGGCTTCATACTAGATAACCTTCCCCGCATTACGCCAAGATGACCGTCCCATTTGTCCGGTAGACCTTATGGATAACGGCCGGGTCGGTATCAGGCCGAGCCGTGATAGTTAATAATTGCTGAGTTCGTTGACAACGTGTAAACCGTAAAGCTTATTTGGTGGTTTATGTCTGAGACGGTGATATCCCGGGTATTCGGGATCACTTAGCTCTGATCGACTGCTGTAGTACGGAGTACACTTACTAAACAATTTGATAGGGTGGCCTTGATGGGATGCCTCACCGCATGAAAAAAATTGTTTTTTTCTTCTTCTTCATGCAATGTAATCTCTTTGCATGCCGAGAAGATATACAAACTGATAATGATAATATTCAAAAAGTATCAACCGACATATTGCTATATCGCAAGGTGTGAAAGTATATGCTTGGATAACAAACCCCACGACTCAAAGCAACTTAACGTTAGGTTAGATTGAAGACACGGGAAAGTATTTATTAGTTTCTCAGCCGCCCCTTTATTCTGGCAGTAACAAAATGTGGCTCAAGTTATCAGTTTTTAAGTGAACCAACGTTGGCTTTGTCTCGGCATATAACAACCGAAACAAACACCCAAGACATATTCACAGCGTAAACACGATAACAGAGTTAATACTGCCGGGCCAAAACTGGCCTCTCAGCAATGCTTGCTTTTGCCTTGACTATGATACATGGTTTCCCAGAGGCTCGCAATAACATTGAATCTGGTTGACAAGAGACCATAAACACACCCGGTTTGTGTGTGTATATATATATATGCGCCAGTAACTTGACCGCAAATATTCAAGACGTTTGACAACCCAAAAATATGTATCAAGAAGCGGAAACGGGAGTCGAGGTTGGAAAAGCGTCTCTTGAAGTTATTGATGGGAGCAGAAACAAAGACGAACCGCGAGTGAAGCTAGACAAGATCGTCCTGTTTTGCTCAAGGCAAAAAAACACATTATATTCCCAGCCCCGAAAGAAGATCTCACACACAGGGAATATGCGAGCTCCTTCCGAACACCGAGACAAAACTCATATACAAGAATGTCTCAACTCCTGCAAAGCGTGGCCATCATTAGACAAGACTCCATAGAGCGTTGCAAGGGTATACCGGTTCTCCCGTGACGTATGTTCGTAACCCAAAATAAAAAGTTCTATACATTCCCTGAAAGATCGCTTGCATCCCCAACTGAAGCCAAACCATTGCTAACTGTTCCACACCACTCCATCAGGAATGATGGAAACCCCCACGCCAATTGAGTATTACTGAGCGTAAAGCATCGTAGGCACGACGTGGAGTAGGCTTGCTAGCTGTTGATTTACAGGAAAGCAGCAAGACCGACGACGGCAGCGAGACCGGCACCGGAGAGAGCAGCGACCTTGCCGGCACCGGCGGTGGGGACCTCAGAAGGAGCACCAGCGGTGGGAGTAGCACCGGGGCCAGCAGGAGAGCCAGGCTTGCCGCTCTCACCACCGTGGCCGGGCTTACCAGTAGGGTAAACGGGGACCAGGGTGGAGTTGTTGCCGTGGTGGGCGGGAGGAGCAGGGCTGAGACACTGTTAGTATGGATGTTTTGACAAGGCTGAGGACATCGGATATCAGCAACTTACCAGTCGTGGCAGACGACAGCGGAGGTGGTGATGACGGGCTTGGTGACAGTGCAAGGGCAGTCAGTGATGGTGAGGGTGGTGGCCTCGGTGATAGTGTAGGTCTTGTCGCCGTGGACGATCTCAGTGGGACCGGGGCAGTATGTGGTGTAGGCAGTGACGACCTCGGTGGTGTAGGTGACGTTCTTGGCGTGGGCAGCGACGCCAGCAGCGAAAGCGAGAGCAGTAGCAAACTTCATTTTGTCGGTTGGGTTGGGGGTTGGGATTAAATTAATGTAACTCGAAAGTTGTATAGTTGGTAGATGTGCTGTAACGAGTGAAATTGACTAAAAGTCAAGGTATAGTAGCGAATGAATGTGTGTGGGTGAAGAAGAAGAAAGAAAAAAGACTCTGGAGATCTGGAGGACTCGAGCTTTATATTAAGATGAGGTCTTCGCTCGACAGGGACTGATAGGGAGGTTGATGAGATTTTGGGTATGGGGGTGTGTGTATGCCTGTGGGTGTGGCCCGCAATGAATCAGTAATGGAGGGGTGGGACCTGGAGCGACAGGGGATCTGGGGCATGGGGGTCCTTGAGAATAGCGATTAATTAAAATCTGTACGGTGTACGGAGTACGAGCAGACCATTCATCCAGTGTCAGAGGCCCCGTGCAAGTCTAGAGCGGACGAGAGTCAGGAAAAGACAAAAAGATAAGCTCATCTAGGCCCAAGTTCCGGTGGCACACTACCATATCCGTACAATATAATGAGCTCGGTAGGCAAGCATTAACTTTTTCTACCAATCGCTGTGCTATTGAACACAGTTAGGGGCAAATTCTACTAGGATTGCATGTTTGGTTGTTGCACTGTACAACCACAAGTTCATGAGTTGTTCTTATCTGAGTGGACGCTGGCTGGCATCTGGGCAAATCCTTGTCGAGGAAAACAACCTCCCAGATAAAAAAAAATAAAAAATAGCCATTCATTGATATCAAGCTCGAAACCAGCAGCTATACCTTCTGATACTGTTTCTAGACCGCATATTTGTGTCAAAGAGAGATCATGTGAGAAAGTTCTTCATCACACCTTTTGGTATTATTGTTTTAAACATAAGGAGACATCATGAGCCTCGTTTAGGCAGCGTCGACTATTACTCTGTGTGTGAAATCGTTCTTCGGATTGCCAGCTACCTACCTAAGAACAAGAAAGGGGTGCTTTGCTGAGAACGGGACCTGGGAACGTGTGTGGGGAGAGGAGGCCCTTCCACTTTGCCTCGTGCTCTGGTGTGGGAACCCCGGCAGATGGAAATGGATGTCTTGCGCTCTGACAGGTATCATCACCGAGACAGCTTAAAAAAAGGAACCAGTCATGAGAGGGGCTAGAGGGGTGAAAGGGACCTGGAAGTCGGCGGACATCCACAGCGCCTACGGATATGCATGCTCGACTCCCAATCTTCAAACCGAAATTACTCCCCCATATCACACCAGAAATAGACAAATAATACCGGGTGATATTGCGAGGAAGAAGATACTGGGTAGGTAGGTAGTATTGTCATATGCTGATATCGAACTGAGGCAAGAGATTTGCGATAGCTATAATTATCGTCGGATGAGCCGAAGCGGACCGACGTTCCACGTTGACAATCCCTGCGATATGATCAGAACTCCGGGGTCACAGTGTCTTTCTTCTTCGGAACTAGACATGTTAATTCTTGCCAGTTTGAAATAGAAGCAAGTTCCACGAGAGAGCATGGAACATGTATGATAGTAGTGAATGAATTTGAAATGTAGATATTGCGAAGTCCCTTAGTCAGAGAGGCTCCCAAATCTGATCAGAACCTATGATCGATCGACAAGTCTCAGGCGTACGGTACCAGTATGTGTCTCTCTACCTATCAAAGGATTTTCTGTTTCCGAAGATCTACTGATTTGACTTTAGAAGAATGAAGATCAAATGAGAAATGGACGGACTGTCGCGTGGGTGCGAGGCAGCCACCCCCGTTGCTCTTCGCCAGGCAATATCCAATAGACTGTCGCCTTCCTATTGTGGGCACGTTCACTCGTCAGTTCCCGTGGCATAATGCGACGCTAATGCAGGAACAAATCTCTTCCCGCTGTCTTGCCAATCCCCTTATTCAATTTTTGCAGAATTCGCTCCTGCTAGGTAGGTTGTATCACGGCTCGACAAGTCCCCTCCAATAAAATCGACCCATCCTTTATCTGCCTCAACTGTACTTTCATCTGAAGCTGCAGCGAATATCACCCGTTCATGTAGTAGCGGGAAGTTCATATTTATCCATCCTGGCAATAATCGCCACTAGCAATAAGCTGGCGCCATCATCTGATTGGTCGCATTGATCATGCCATGCCTGAGCTGTGAATCCAATAGCATAGAGTAAACAAACAAGACCACAAGGAGATGGCTCATGGCAATGTCCTCCCCGATATCTATTGGACCGCACCCGCAATACACCGTGCACCGACTAGTTAGTCTTGGACTCTCCAGTGGCAGAGTGGGCAATTATCCACGCGGTAGTCAATGGCTTGAATGGGTTCCAGCACACATGCACCTTGTAGCAGGGGTTAGGAGAGCTGGGGGCGGTCTAAGCTGGAGCCCAGAGCCTAGAGGGCCGGAACATTAAACAGAGTTCTCACTGAGCCCAAGCAACAGTGAACACATGGCTATGCCAACGCTGCACCGTGAGCACAGTTATTCGAGGCTCCTGATATGGTCGGGTCACACAGAATTCGTTGAGAAACAAGGCGGCCATGTTCTAGCTGTCCTATAATGTCTGAGAGGTGGACTAGATCCTGAGTTGGCAACGGAGTCGAAGCCTGTTGACTTTCCTCTTCAGGCTGCTCCGTGTTGTTTCTGATGAGTGCTTCAAAACAGTCGGATCCGTCTGACGGTTGGGGTCTTGACACCCACCCATACAATCTCCCTTGTCATGTCAGATCTGGCCTACCTACCAGCCAGCCAGTCTCTATGTGCCTAGGTACATATGTAGTGCTCTGTACAGTGCTTGCTGATCCCTTTCCAGTGGGCAAGCCAAGATCATTCAGCAAGATATCGCCATGGATAAAGTAGGTACTGATGATAAGGCGGCTCGACGGTTCTGTCTGTTAGCAACCCTCCGTAATCTCCCCTTGAACCACTAAAACATAGTTTAGCTATCAGACAGCCTGAACACCTTCAACATCTCGATGCCTTATCTTTGATTGAAGATGAGGGCTTGTCCATTCCCCTGACTTTTAGGTCAGTCAGCATTGGCTTCAAGTTCAATCGAGGCGAACCCCCCTGATACAAGGCGAGGCGAATGGGTTCCAAACTGAGTATCGAAAGCTCCATCCTGGTCTCGTATTTTCCCCATCAACCTCTTTCGAGTCATGGATTCTTGATGGGGTCTTTCGGTTCAGTAGCTCTGTCTTGTCTTAGTTTCGACTATCATCACTCTGGTACATAAGTTTAGATGGCGACCCACGTCTCAAGTCCACAGAAATGAGAATCAGTGTCCAGGGGTTATCGGGCACTGTAGTTTTCTGATGGTCAACGACAAGCTTTCGGCCGCTTTCTAATCTAAGAAAGCTAGCAAGGCCAGGTTCTCTGATCGATGCGATCCGAGGCGTGTCCATGGAGGAATCGAAAGCTTGGCATACGATCAGTCCCTCAGCTGTATCTTCAACAAACGCGGCGGATGTGGCCTATTGCTATGTATGCAGCATGTATGTAGGTAGGTTGGTTGACCCGAAACTCTCTTCGATCAAGCTTCTTTTCTTAAGCTCCAATCTCATGCCCGAGTCTTTGTCTACATTTCCCAAACGGTGTGCCAAGATTTTTCACCATCCCTTTACGTCTCTTCCCGCTCACACTCTCCAAGCAAGGCGCTGGATCTCCCGCAAGCCTCTCAAGCCCACATCCAGTATCGTGTGAGACTGGTAAAGTTTCTGGCCACCCAAATCTGCTTGGCTCCATGATAATATTCGGAAAGGTATACCCGGACTTCATTTCCACCACTTGTCTTGGTCGTCAGATCATCCATGTCGGCTGCTGCATTACGGATACAACTATTTGAATTTATCCCACTGTAATGCTCGCTACGGTGGCTCGACCAGATTAGTGGTTTTGCATGTTGAAAATTTCAATTTGTGTTTGATTTAGCACTTAGTTAAAAAACAAACGCCAAGGCTGCCTTGTTGTTTTGTTGATGTTGACGCGTATCATTCGCCTGGTTTGTTTTTATATTACTCGCCCAGACAACCTCGAAGACCTCATTTGCTAGGTCCACTCAGCAGTCGGTACTCAATTAGTCCATAGGTTAGTAGTTGATAGCACCAAAACGCGGACCGTCCAAGTGGTGACTTCTAACTAACAGTAGTTTAATTGCACTCGATCGATAATTAGGCTTGCTAATTTGCCATCGCCGGGACTTTTGGCTCGGAATTGAAGTGCGGAAGAGGTCCTACAGTCAGGTCGCTCTCCATGGCTTGTTAGCTGGTCTCTAGCTGTTGAACCACTATTTATGCCTGACGGTGGCTAACGGCTTAGACGATATTGCCTGTCGCCGAGATTCCGGATGGCATGACTGTCATGATGAGGTCTCGTTGCTGTATTGACAAATGCGTTGATTTAGTATCTAAGAGCGCATGCACCTTAATCTCAAGGGAACCCGTCGGTTCGGAGGTTGGAATCGTGGACTTGTCTCGTAGAGGTTGTATGAATGTTGGAAAAGAAATTGGGCTGGAAGGACTTATCATGTGGCCTATTCCTGTTGAACCCGAGCATTGTCGCTTTCGATCTCGCTGTATCATGTTCCACTTACCTCCTCATACTTTATTGATGGGTGCACACTATGTCGCTTGGTGGTGTAAATCCTCATGGACTGACTGACTGAATATTCCTACTAACTGCAAGAGCTCCTGCACAACAACAAAAAGTGTTTCTGTGGTTGAATTAAAACATAAACCTTACAGACAGCATGGTCCGACCTCGGAACACCTTTTTGTTCAGTTCAATTCAAACATTTTGGATCAACATTCATCATTATACACTCTCAAGTTCCAATCGAGTTTGCTGCCAGCGGACCTACCAGCCGTCGTTCACACATAACTCAGTAATCGAACACTCCCACCTGTGTCTGGTTACCTAAGTACGCAAAGATGTCTTGCCGTTGTGTATTCCATTTACAATGGGCCCGCCCCTCTTATGGAGGCTTTCCCGGCCGAAAGTCAGGCGGAAACCAAACATCGTCTCCGGTGCTTCC